TGTGTGTTTGTGTGTGTGAGAGGGTTGCAGGTTGGGTTGGGGGTTCCAGCTGCCTTCTGCACACCTGCGCATTTATCATGTGCTTACAAAATGTGATGGAGTCAGAATGATTGACAGGGAGACAACAATGGGAAGAGAGACACAAACTGAGTGTGTATACATGTCTAAGTGCTTACATGTAGTTTAAATGAAGGTGTTTATGTACTCACTGTATACACAAGCATTGGGGGTTGCACTAAGGGGGCCTTCCCATTAGATTAGATAGAAATAACTTGCAGGTAAAAGAGGATAGTGTAGTTCTGAAATTTGTTGTTCATATTTTGATATGTCAGATTAGTTGGTAAAGACTTTAACAGTAAATCTTACTGAAAATATATTTTGCTATGACAATCTGCATAGGATGAATATCAGTTTACTGACTTGTAAAAATACGTAGTTTCGCTTCCACTTATAAGTGGGTGGGTGTGTATCTGTGAGTGCATCTATGTTTCATGTCCGTGTATGTATGTGTTCATACATTATGTATGCAAGTAGATGGAGTTGACCAAGTATGAGTCTGTGTGCATGAATGCTTACATACATGGGCCTGTTGGTATGCCTGCACATTCAACTGCATGTACAGTATGTATGCAAGTATGTGCGTGCATGTATATACACACACATATTTACATGCAGAATCACATATACATACCGGTACGTGTAATTGTGGATGTGGATCAGGCATGCATGTAAGACTGCATTACTGTTTGTGTGTGCATGAATACATGATTGTGTCTGTGTGTGTTTTTGTGTCAGTCGCTGTCTTCTCTCTCCTGGGTCTCAGCCAGGGAGCTCTCATCAATATTCTCCAGGCTCTCAGCATGCTGGATGCTGAGCTCAGAGAGAGGGATGCTGGGTAATGTAGTCTGTTCGGGGTAGAGCCAGGGCTTTAAGCCAGGGTTGTGTCTCTGCTTCCACTCTGAATACTTCAAACAGGCTTTGTTGATCTTCTTCATTGCCTAAAAAGAACAAAATAGATAACGCATAATAATGACACGAAGTAAGAAAAGAAAACTGTATCTTTATTGATCATCAAAAAAAAAAAAAACTTCATTTAGATACTCGGGTAGCCTGTGCAGAACTACAAAAGTCAGATCATCAAGTACCTTCATACAGTTTTCATAGTACCAAAAGATCCAAGTGTGTTTAATTCAAATAGAACTTAGGTTTAATATAGAAATATTGGTTTAAAATGTTAAATCAAATGGTAATATTTCTATGTATATGTGAACTGTATTTTATGTTATAAATGAATCCTGATTTATTTATTTTTTTAATCTGCAAAACCCAGACAGGAATTCTTGTGTTTACTGTGTTGAAATCATCAGTATGGTTATTGTCAGGAGGATTTGTGCATCTGGCTGAGCTGCTATTTTCTGACTATCATCAAGGGATTTCTCCATCCCAGGGTGCTCTTTTTGCCCTATTTCAACAATTACACACACACTCTCTCTCTCT